TTGACCGTTCGATGTCCAGTCACCTGCTTTCACCCTAGTCTATTAAGAAAAGGATTTCCTGCTTTCTTTTGCTGTGAGCACTCCCAAGGCCTCTGGCCACCTCATCTTTCCACTGATACAACCACCCCACCCCCCGGCTGCAGAGCTCACAGAGCAAAGTCTGGGGCTCCCTCCACCTCAGACAGTCTCAATCAGACCCAAAGAGGATCTAAACACTTCATTTGGCACCAAAAACACAGGCTTTTCCAGGAGTTTTTCGGCGTCAGTAGTGTGCGACAGATGCTTTTTCTACTGTACTTGGCAGTTGTTAGCCTCTAAAAAGGGCTCCCAGCTGGTCACCGAGGACAAGGAGAGGAGGCCTCACCAGAGAGCAGGAAATTGGTAATGAGCCCTGTAAGGGGCTGGGGTTCCGCTGTTCACTCAGTACCTCTTCGTCTAGCTGCTCCTGGGCACCGGGCGCCGGGTCCGGGCTCGTCCTGGGGCGATGGTGGCCATCTAGAACGACCCGCTCCCGCTCTCAAGGACAGTATCTATCGGGAGTCACAGTTCAGGCAGCTCCAGGTTCCCCACTGTCAAAAAATGAAGCCATGTGTAAGCCTAAGTGGCGTAAAGCAAAGAAGCAGTCACCTCGGGACACATCTTGCTAACGGATGCACAGAATCGATGGAGATGAAGCACAGGTGCTCACAGACAGCTCAGAGCTCAGGCGGCGTGACGCTGAGATGCTGAGCGTAGTTCCCTGGCAAGAAGCTTGTCGGGGCGCTCCTGCTGCTCTGGGTGTGCGCTGCTTCCAAAATGCTCACGGCAAAACAAACAGGTTCGCTATTTTCGCTTTCCGCCTTTTTTGGTAAAAGTGAAACTCCTCCTCGGATTTCTCCTGGTTAGGGAAAACGGGCACTAATGTTGGTCTGACATAATAGCAGAGTGTGTTAGCTCAAAGTTTAAGAAGGTGGGGATACCTGCCACACATTGATTGCACTTGATAGTAACAGCTACAAAGAATAAGACACTGTGGCAGCGAAAAGCTAAGGAACCTCTCTCAGTCCTGGTGCTGAGGCAAAGGCTCCCTGTGCAAGTAACCAGGAGGAGCAGGAGTTAGCCATGGGATGGGAGTGGGGTGAGGACTTCAGACAAAGAGAACAGCCTGTCCCATGGCCCTGCAGCGGGTAAGAGCAGTCAGAGGTCGTAGAGGTTGGGAGTGGGGCAGGAGAGCAAAGGAGGGTAGGCCCAGGATCATAGAAGAGGCGGAGAGTGGGGAGGAGAGACCAGGGGGGCCCAGTTGGAAGGCCACTGCAGGAGCCCAGGCAGGTGACAGCGAGCGAGCGAGGATGAGCGTGAGGACAGTGACATGGACTCCATGTGGAGAAGGATGAAGCAGCAGGGGCAAAGGTGACTCAGTGAAGATGTGTTGAGCTCCTTCTCTAGGCGGGCTCTGGGCGGCTGCCTGCGTGCACCGCGAGGGACAGATGGACACAGCACCCAGGCCAGGAGGATGTCCGCATGCTGCTCCCATCAGGCAGGCAGTTTACGGCCGGCACCCTCTGAGAAAGAAGCAGGATTGTGGGGAAGGTAAATTTTGGATGTTGTATTTGAGAGGCCCTTCAGAGACGGCGAGGAGGTCGGGGACGTGGGAGGGAGGTCCCATCTGGTGTCGTTGGAATTAGAAGAGCCATTGAAGCCAAGAGAGTGAGTAGGGTCCCTGTTGTTATATGACGCCTATGACCACTCATTTCACATCTCAACAGAAGTTAGAGAAACAGAATAGAATTTAGAGAAACTGTGTGAAACACTGGTATGTTTATCACTACAGAAAAGGATTCAGACTTAGGCTAACCAGTCCTCAGTACTATGCCAGGGAGGTAAGCAACTAAAGGACAAAGATTATCTACTTTTCTGGTGGTTCCAGACGTGGGCCCAGTGACAGCAATGAGTTTACCGTGGGAGGCAGTGAAATGTGGAAACTGGCAAGTCCACACATAAATGCTTATGTATCACCTATGGCCTTGTCTGTTGGCTTAAAAGAAGCCTGAACTGTTACCGGTATAGTAATTCAGTAAAAAATAAAAACTAGAGTGATAGTAATTCCTTTATTTTTTTAGTTCATCATACCTGCTTAATTTGCTACATTCCCTCCAATAAAGTGAAGAGGAGAGGAAATTGTGTTGGCATCTGAACCCCCCCTCCCCCAACGGATAATTTCAAGAAGAGCGAATCAATATCAAGTTCACGGTAGTGTAGGTCTCCTGACGCTATCTCCTCTTTTTCTACAATCTATACTGCTTAGAAGACAACTTTGATCCTGGCGTTATGCCTGCCACGATATCTGGAAAAAAATCTGAGGGGGCAGACCTTTACTTTCAGGAGAAAAGCATTGTTTGCACCCAGGAGTCCTTCCTCCCCGGTGCCTGAGCTTCCCTAACTTCCACCAAGGAGAGAACCCACTGCAGCCTCAGCAGGGCCACCCATGGACTCGCATAGGTGCTCACTGGACAGTCTTAGGGACGTCGTTCTCATAGACTGGGGTTTGCAATGTGCAACCTGCATGGCCGTTTACAAAGACACCTGCCCCAAACACCAGGTGAACTCCCCTGTTTGGAGCTACATCCGTGTCCTCAGGAAAGGGGGTAATGAGATGAATAAAAAAGTGAGCATAGACTCTATTTTGCTGAGACATTCATCAATGATTAACAGCTTATAGCGGCTTTAATTTATTCATCTTTATCTTCCTTGAAAAGGAAAATATGAGCTATATTTAAAGAACCTTCTTTTGTCAATCATACCTGCTATTTTAAGAAGGAAAAGAAATAAGAGAAATTGAACAAAGACATCCTTCATTTTCTCCCCTCCAAAATGTATTAGATATAAATACATTAGGTAGAAAGAAAACTAGTACAAAATAAATTTAAGTGAGCTCTTGTTATTAAGTCAAAACACCTATCTACAAATGATTTCCTATCAGATTCTTTACAGCATTTGTTTTAAATTATTTTTTGAAATTTTATATATTACAATTCTTGTTGTAGATATGATAATGAGAAAATAAAGCAGACTAGCACACCTGGCTGATATATTGAAATCTGAGATTTTTTTAAATCTGAAATTATGAAATCTTCTCCCAGAAAATCCAGAATGCCTTTAATCAAATTCTGAATAGTATACTTTCAGCAACAAACACCTTCTCCAATGTCCGTGATTCCAAGAAGGGGAGAAAGGCTCCTTGGCTTGTTTTATTTACAGGATTTGTGTCTGCACGTTGGAGAAGAATGTTCTGTTTGCTTCAGAGATGGACATAGATTTTCAAGAGATGGTTTAAATAGGAATGAATTTAATATACCTTTAATTCTCTGAAATGAACTTTGGTCCAGGGCAAAGCCTGCTCTCGACACTGAAGGAAACCTATTCCATTAATCCCAGCAGCTCAGAGTCCAACGCTGTGTGATCAGAATGCTTAAAGGTAGGAAGGACGGGAAGAATACTTTGAAAGAAACTTTTAAAACTAAATGGCTGTTCAGAGGACACCAAGCCTCGTGTGGAGTCATGCAGCCCTTAAGGACAGAGATAAATAATTATGCTTGACAAACAGTTAATCACAAATAGTGCAGTGCATAAAAGAAAAAAAGTTTTAATGTGAAATGCCACATAATGAAATAGTAGGATTTTTTTTAAATTTCATTTCACACTGGCATAGAAGAGATGGGAAAGGAAAATTATATTGCCAGAAAATTCCAGTTAGATTTGCTAAAGATGTTTTCATATACTGTGTTTAAAACAAAAATCTAACTGCTATAATTTATCATACCTCTGGTTATTAAAACCATATTAAAGATTTTAATCACTTGCCATTTTTGCACATTGTTGACTTTTTATAGAGGATACTATGAAAATTTCTGTTAACCTTTGTGTGATTTTTTTTAGGAGCTCCTAAGTAAAGTTAACATGCTTTAAACATATAATTGTGTTTATACCAAATAAAACTCCTCGTGTTTTCCTTTTAGCTTGTTCAGTGAAACATGTGGAGCCGTTTTATCGTTGCTGAGCTCATGTGAGAGCACAGGCTGCGGGTCCATTCACTCCCTGTACACACATGGAGTCGTAAAGAGCAGGGTGGACCTGCTCTTCTTTTGGATTAGAGAGAGGATTCTTTTCATGATTGGGAAAGTTTAAAAGAAAAAGTTATACTGGCTTAGGCGTGAAACTTGCTCCTTGGTCTTGAGAAATCAGAGACTCATAAGACAGTCATGGAGGCAAGGCCGTTCTTTAAAAAGACAAACATTAGAGAGTAGCCTCTCTGGCAGGCAGGAGAGAGGTAGGGAGATCAGCAAGGGCTCTCACAGCCAGAAGGAAAAAACTGTCCCAGAATTAAAGACGGCCGTTCTGCTCTCCGGGAATGGGGACAGGAGGGAGGCAGCCGGAGGTCAGTCATTTCTCTGCTGTGGTGAGAGGCCTTAAGGAGGTGGAGCCCATAGCACAAGGGCTGCAACAAATCGTCTCCACCCTGGGAGAAGCATGGTGGTTTGGTTTGGTTTTTATGCACCAGGTGAGAACTATGGTCTTCTATATGAAAGGATTCATGAGAGTAGCATTATGATTTAATGCTATGTATAGTTATTAAAATACATTATTCTAAAGCAGTGTGTGTGTGTGTGTGTGTGTGTGTGTGTGTGTGTGTGTGTGGCTTCCTAATTCACAAGTTAGATTCACCTCCAGACGAAACCTATGGCATTCAGTGTAGCCATAGATTGAAGTTCTAGAAGCCAGAGCTTAAAGGTGCTTTGAAGTGCAACCCTTTGATGGGAAAATTAAACTGACTTTGCTTGCGGTCACAGAGCCAGGACTAGACCCCATGGCTTTTCAGTCCTGGTTCATTCCTGCTTTCACCTCCTGCCCGTCCTCTCTGTGGACCTGCTCCTGGGAAAGCGGCTTCCAAGGGCTTTTCCTCCCCAGCCCATACTCGGTGGGATGCTCTTGGTTTGATGAATAACCAGGTGCTCTTTCTGCAGGTGCAAAGTTCCCCATTAAGTGGACGGCCCCCGAAGCAGCCCTGTACGGGAGGTTCACAATCAAGTCCGACGTGTGGTCGTTTGGAATCTTACTCACAGAGCTGGTCACCAAAGGAAGAGTGCCCTACCCAGGTAAGCTCAGGACCCAGCAGAAATGGGCCTCTGATTGGATGTTCTTTCAACACCATTTGGGGAAACCTCACCCAATTTGCCTGCTAAGCCCCATCCTCACCTTCCTGCTGAGCATGAGTTTGAATAACATGGACAGGTACTGAGCCAGAGAGGAACAGAACTGGGAGCCACTGTGGTATGTAGACAAGCAGCCACCATGAATTGGGTGCCAGGATTAATGTATTAGCAGCTGGTATGAGCGCTTCGGTCCGCCCCAATTTGAGGAATCTCTCCTCTCTCAGTAGGACTGTGTCTGTGTCTCCCAGAACAGAAATGTCACTGGCAGATCCTCTGCTCCACTAGTTTTCAGACTCTTCTGGGAAAGAGAGGAGAAAGCCCCCACTGCGTTTTGATTGCTCTGTAGCACTGACCCGTGGAGCCACGCTGGCAGGAAGATGCCAGGACCCGTTCTCTCAGCAGGCCCGGCTCCAGATGGCCAGAGAGGCACATGCGAAATGCAATTGGAGGCCACTCACTGCACATTTTGAAACAGTCAAAATATGCTATGCAGAAGCAAGTATAACATAAAGCAATTGGAGAGTCTATTGTCCTGGAATTTTCCTGGGAATCAGATTCATGGTCTCCAAAGAAAGCCCAAGTTCAGGTTATTCACGCTTAAATTCATTAATTTAGACAAATGGTGACTTAAAGGACACTCATGCCATTTCACCTCCACGCTTTAGTGGTTCTAGTGCAGGGACGATCTGCTTTCTGAAATGTTAAGGACATATTTTTTTAGTTACTGCCAAGTGAAGAAAGAACACAGCTCCCCTCATTCCCTACTTTAAAAAGAAAAAAAAAAAGAAGCAGTGATGAAAACGATAGTGGAGATTAATGAGGAATGGAGGTCTCTTGCAAATCCTGGATTTGTCATCGTATCTTTGCAGTCAGAGGAGCCAGTGGCCCCAGATTAATTTGTAATCCCTTTGTTCATTTCTTAGGATTGTTTCTGGTCATCTTCAAAATGCAGAGAGGGAAAGAGGTTCTCTTTCTGGGTTGGTGTGTCCTCGAGACTCCTGGGGGAGCCAGGCTGGCACAGTCAAAATTGACAAATGCCCCGCCTCCAAAGCGCCAGCACTGGGCGGTTAGAGTTGCTTGGAAGTCGGTTTTACTGCTGCCCCTGCGGTGGCTGCCCCTGGTGTGCACAAGTGGGAGGAGCCACCAGCGGAAGAAAGGGCTGCCCTGGAGGGCCTGGAGCACAGCAGGAGCGCCTTTGAGTAGTTGCTGGAGGGGGTAAATGTGCAGGTCTCGGGATTTTGCAGATGTGAAGGCCCCTCAGTTTTTATTGTGTGAGTTTTGCACTCATTTCTCCCTGAGCCCCCCAGATTTATAATCACCCGTGTTAAATGCAGCTGGGGGGAAAGGTTAATGTTGCTTTGCATTTCTTTGAAGCCTTTCCTTCCAGTAATACGAGCTGCTTTTTGTTTCTCTGGTCGCGCAGAAGCCCAGACAAAGGGGTGGGGGCGGGGCCTGGAGAAGGAAGGCAGGTGTGTGCTGTGCGTGGGAGGGAGAGTCGTGATCAAGTTTGGTTTTAACATAATGAAGATGGCCTCATTTTACGCTTAGACTGGGATTCCTTCATTCAGCATAGCGCCAGAAAATGTGAGCTGTGCCGGGCATTTTGCAATACCTGGGAAATAAGTACAAATAAGAACTCATATTCTCAGCAAACTGATTAAACAGAGGAGTGGGGCACTGTTTTAGGTGCTGCAGATAAAGCAGTGAGCAAAGAACTAAATGTAGTCCCTGCACCCACAGAGCTTTTGGTCACATGAATATATGCTTCAAATCCAGGAAGAAATCTTTCCTTTTTGTTACTTATTTATTATTAGAGGAAGTGATCACAAGGGATGGATTACTTGAATTTACCCACTGTGGCCCCAAATCTTCATTCTGATAGTGGGGTCTGGGACACCCGATGCAGGGATCTGCAAACCACAGGTACTGAAAGGGACCCTTCACTCCTCATCCTGTGAGGATGGCAGAGCAGTTTGACATGAGAACTAAGCCCACTCTGTTATGCACAGCTACATAGGATGAGCAGCTGCTGATACGCAAGGGGCTTTGATAACTACCTGACTGCGAGGGTAGCAGAGAGAGGGGGCTGTGTCTGGGAGGCTTCACATAGAAGAAGGCAAATAGGGCTCCCTCCTCCAGTCGAGTCGAAGAAGGAGAAGAGTCCCAGAGAAGGGTGGGCATGTGGAGAGGCGCGGAGGCCTGGGAGGAGGTGCCAGTTCAGGAGCTGCTGGAGAAGAGTCTGGGAAGAGGGCTGCAAGGCGAAGAGCTGGAACGGCTGACTGAGTCCATCCTGAGGGGCCTCTTGCACGGCCCCGGGGCGGGGAAGCACATAGGCTGCCCCTCACCCTCAGAAAGCCACAGAAACTTGTTCCCAGGCCCGGTCCTCTACATGGTGCTTCTTGTTTTTGTTTTATAACATGGCTCTAATCAGATTTAATTGGACTCTGAACCTCACAGTAGACTCTTCTTGAGGGAGAGGCTTTTGCAGAAGGATTCCAATTATAGGATCATTACCTTAATGAAGGAGAGCAGTTCTTAAGGAACAGACAGTTTCATTAGCTTCATCCAGATGTCACTGTGGGAGGAAGGCCCTTCCTCTCTGCATTGCTGTTTGTTGGGGTGGCCGAGTGTGTGCTGCTGGCAGGCGTTCTCTGCTGCACCGAGTCCTCCTGCCTGTGGGTGGTACCCAGCCAGACTCCCAGTCCCTGTCCACCATGATTCCATTCCTCGGTCTCCGCATAGTACCTGCTCAGTTGGCTAGAGTGTGTTCTCAAGTCATTCTTTCTTCAAGAAAGGTTGGTGGCGGTACACTTTTCTGAGTCCTTTCATACCTGAGAATGGCCTTGTGTTACCTTCACACAGAGAAAAGGTACTTGGCTGTTAGGTGAGGATGGAGGTCAGGGGAGGGGCTATGACTTATAAATGGGTTTTTAAAGCTTTCCAGGCATCTTCGCCCAGCATGAAAGAAGGCCCAAAGTAAGAATCAGAGAAGGAACTTAGAATGGAGTATGTAAGATGTGGCCACATGAAGGGCAAAAGGTATGAGGAGACATACCTTTGTAAAACATTGGATTGCTTGGTTAGTTAGCAAGTTTTGTAAAAGGAGTGGATTAAAAGGAAGGGGAGAAGGACAAGCTCAAATTGATTGAGAGCCTTAAAGCCAAATAAATAAATAAATAAATAACTGAAATGTGACACTGAGAGGAACAGGGAGGAGCCACATCAGACAGGAAGGTTGCTTGCAAGATTTGTGACAAAAACCAGCTCCGTCTTACAAATTTCCTAGTAGCAGCCTGACCTGAATACATTCTCAGCATAGCAGTCCAGCTTGCTTTCTGCCAGCCAAGGTTCAGAACCATTCTTTGCATCAAGGTTAGAGCTGATTTTGTACTGATGGATTGTTGTATATGAGAAATGCAAACGCAAAAAGTAGTTTTCTGGTGTTGATGCATAAAATCAGCATTATGCATTTTACCCTGTCATTTCACCTTACGATATTTTGTTCTTTCCCTCCACTGCCACTGCCCCATGTCAAGCTGTCATCCCCTCATGCAGTGACCTCCTCATGGAACTTCCTGCTTCCAGTCTCCCCCACCCCCTCCCCCACCACCACCGTTCTGTCATTGTCACCAACAGTTACTGTTCTAGAAAACAGACCCAGTTATCCTCCTCTCTTAGTTAAAAACATCCATGGCTTCCCTTTATCTTCCAAATAAACCAGAAGCCTTAGTTTTGCACCAGGAGTTCAGCAGTGAACCCATGGACAAAAACTCCTACTCTCGTGAACTTTTATTCTTCTTGGAAGAGACAAACAATAAACAAAGGTAAATAAGCCAAATACATTCGGTAGTGGCTAGTGGTAATAGGTAGGGAGAAAATTAAACAGGGAAGGGGATAGAGGGTATCAGGAAAGAGTGGCAAGGAGGGCCTCACCGGGAAGGTGGTATCTGAGTTAAAGACCTGAAGGAAGCAAGGTGCAAGCCAGGTGGAGATCTGGGGAGAAGCCCTCCTTCCCAGGGGACTGGACACAAGGCCCTGAAGAACTGCAAGGTGGCCAGTGTGGCGGGAGCAGAGGGAGCAGGAAGTCTGAAGGCCTCGGGGCACATAAGATAGGGATTCCTGGGTCATTTTCAGGACTTTTGCTTTTATTCTTAGTGATATGGGGAGGCACTGAGGGACTTTGTGTGGGAGAGTGACAAGGTCTGACTTACGATTTTCTCCTACCACACCTCCACCCTTCACACCAAGAGATCACTCTTGAATATGAAGTTCCTCTTCTCAGCTTCACCGTCTGCCTCAGACTCTTCCAAGCCCCACACAAAAACATCACCTCCTTTGTGTAGCCTTCTCCATGTCCAGGTCGAATGGGTTGTCCCTCTGCTTGCTTCTCTGTTGAAGCCCCTAGGTGTGTACTTCCCAGTACCTCTGAGCAATTGAAGGGGGGGCTGCTTTTATGTGTTCCCAGTGCCCAGCACAGTATCTGTCCCGTGGTGGACTGAACAAATGTGAGTGGTGGACGGATGAATGTGTGGGTGGGTGGGTGGGTGGGTGGGTGGATGGATGGATACTACAGGGAATAAAAAAGATCATGCCTATGCGGTTTTTGAAACAAGATTTTTTAATTCGGCCAGTCTCAGCTCTGTTCTATCATCCCACACATAAATACAGCGTGTATTTTCTCAGGCGTGAGATAGACGCTGTCCTCAGAGTTGTGTGGGGAGATGGACCCTGTAGTGAGCGCATACACTGTGTTCCAGCCACCATTCCAGGCAGACTGGCCCTGCCATCCAGGACGCTGGCTCTCAACCCAACAGCTGCCTGTGCATTTGGCAGGATCTGGCGAAGCTGGAACATTCCTTCAAACACATCACATTTGTCAAGCATTTGAAGCACTTTCAAATCTTTTAACGAGTGGCAGCTGCCTGACTGCTGCACGGGCTGAG